GGGTAGTCGAAAAGAGAGGTTTCTACTGGACCGTAAAATGTCGCGAATTTGCGAGTACTACCTAATAAAAGTACTAGTACTTAGAACTACAGTGCAGGGTCGCTGAGAGGCAAACTGTTGAAAAGTGATATTTTGCGAAAGCTGCTATGAAATCCAAGAAAGATCGCCTATAGATTGGGGCCAGGGCACTTTCTGCCGCTAGAACGATTCTCACAAAACACGACCCTCCAAATCCCTTCCTCTCAAGCGACCCCTCTTCTCCATCTACCAGTCATCTTTTTGACTTTTACTCCCGACTTGTCCCGACTTCCTACCCGCTTTTCACTTTTTCATAGCTTTTCGAAGAATCCTCCAATTTTTCCCTAAAATTTTGTCATAGAGCGGGGTTGGGGGAGGGGAGGGGATAACGGATCGCCACTGAACAACTACTATTTTCAACTATTGAAAACAGTAGTAGGATAGAACTATAGCGGCACCACCAGCTAGGGGGATTGCTCTGTGCATGGAAAAATGCTTAAGAGCTCCTCTTTTTAATACGACCCCTGTCCTCTAGAAGGTCGAGCAAATACGACGTTTTCTCATGGAAGTCTCCCAACGTTGCGGATTGCGCGAAACAGGAAAAATTGAATATCAAAAAAAGCTTTTTTAGGCCAAGTACGACACCTCCCTCCACCAACCGAGTGCGACCCCAGCTGAGGATTCTTTAACGTACGACGTGACTAGGGCTCAAGCACTCGGATCAGATTTGGCTAGGTTTCTAGGCACTCAAAAGTCGACAGTCATCACTGCAGTTGTGTGATAATGCATGATATTGTGATAATTTCTGATAATTCCGATCAACTCTAACGGAGCTCATTTCTGGGCGATTCTAGGAATTCCACTCTTCGAGCAAGGCCATTTCCTAACTAGCTTTCGGTAATTTCCTAGGTAGTCAAAAGTGGGAAGTCTAATTTCTGACACTGATAATTTCTGATAATAGGGATAACTTTACAATCATATCTGTCAACATTATCGATGTCTTCGACTTTCTTTTATTTTACTGTTTTCACTTGATTTTTTCCCACGACTGTTAATAAGCAGATTTTTCGTGATTTTTCTCGACAACCTATGGTTCACAGAGTTCCTTTCTGTGATTAACGAAAGATATTACTGAAAATCCTTTTCTTTCCAGGTATCCCAGAAATTGCAAACCTCTCACATTACTTAACTGTAAGCTCACGTACCTTATCGAAATAGGAAAGTGCCACGACGGCCACGTCAGCCAGAGGGGTATGAAGTGGTCCGACGCACTGTTGGCGAGCTACCAGACCTGTCACTGAGCGATCCACCTTACATGTCAGATATCTGAAAAAAATGTGGTTTCAATAGGGGAAGAAGGTTGAGGGTCTGGGTGGATGGCTCCAAATCGTTTTGGGTTCGGTGACGAAAGGGGGGGGGCATTTTGCACTTTTGCTTCTTCCCATCGACGTCTAGACCTATCTAGACAGCCTCTTCTCGAGTTGACAGGTTCTGACGATCTTGCTCCAGCTTCACAAGAGTTCGCAGGTTTCACCCATGTGAGACTGTAAACTGGAACTAGTGAAGCAACGAAAGTACAGAACGCCCCCCCCCCGTCGCCGAACTACGCCTCGTTTTGGTAAGCTGCATGCTTGTTAGGGATGCACTGGGCGGTCTCACATCAGTTAGCCTTTCTTCTCGTCGTCTTCCTTTCACTGACCATGAAATGGCCATGAAAATTCGGGCACAAATAATCACGGATATCTTTGAGGTACGGTATTCGTAGGATAAGGTACTCACCCAAGGAAGCTAAAAGAGGAACAAGTCATGCTAGTCATAAACATGCCACGAAGTTCATGATTAACGGACCGGTCAGACCTGGACTAACTTTAAGGACATAAAGGTGGAAAGGCTCTTAGAACTGATGAAAACCGGTCTATAACGAGAGCCTAAATGTAGTGTTAGCCCACAATTTGATTGAATAGTCACGTAACTGCTGATCGAATCTGTGGCTAACCGGTCATGACCAGGCCATGCAGGTGCTTACTGCCCATACTCATAATAACTGGATCCCTAAGCATCGTTGAAGTCGTTAGTTTGCTGCATCTAATTTCTGTCCAAGGGGATCCAGAAGTGGATAGAAGAGCTATGCTGCGCTCACTTTCTCGCAGGTACGGTTTCCCTAAGTCTGGTCTTGACCTCAATGTCACCGGAGTTGCTCAAAAGCACGTCCCATGTTCAGTTTATAAGCAGACACGAGTAATCTGGTGATGCAAGTAGTCCTTCCCCAGTCCTGTACGCAGACACAGAAGATTTAGCACTTTCGCGGCTGAAATACGCGATAAGGACGTCAGACATCGTTACGGAGGCGGTGCCCCGCCCATCGATTATGCCACGCCCAATGCTCATTTTTCAATGGGGGATTGCCCATAGTGGTGCCACCCGTTTCGTTGCATGATTATGCGTAAGCGCTCCTTTCACATTAGCTCTTTTCATCTTGAATGGGAGAAGAAGTGAAGTCGTGAAAAAGAGCTGATATAGTTTGGATACCAGAAACGAAAGAATTCTTTCGAAACTCTAGAACTCTCTTCGCCGCAAACAAGATCGGGTCGAGCATTTTAGACGTTTTTTTTTTGCTGCTTTTTCCTTCACTAATGAGTTAGGCTGCCACGCTGTCTTTTGATCTGAAGCCATGAGCCCCCACTTCCCGCTATTTCGGGACGCCCTCAAGTTGAGTGTTCGTTAAGGGATAGAATCCTTCTCATTCCTTTTCCCGTGGAGTAGCGCAGTGCCAGAGACGTTGTGCACATTTCTTTACCAGACTTGAGTGCAGAAGTATTGAATTGTAGATTGTGAATGGAAGTCGTGTACATGGCCCAACCCGGAGGGACTTATTGATGCTCAACTTCTTCGCGCCAATTTTGGGAAATTGACAAAAAGTTGAGCAAAAAAAAACTTATAGCTAACCTTTTACTCGCTACAGATGGCAGTCGAAGCACCATTTCTAGAGCCTGTCGGACAGTAAGACCTGCGGGGAGCTCGAGCTGTCTCAAAGGCATCGGCTTCGAGTTCAAATGAAACACCTAAACTATTCCAGGTCATGACATAATCAACACAAAATTCGGTATGTAGTAAGAGGTCACCATGCGACGTCGCGCCACCTCCGCGACAATCGACAGAAAACACTTGCCAAGCATGGGAGTTTGCGGAGACGCAGAAAGTGCATGATAGCTTGAGAGAGTCAAGGAGAGCGGGAGAGACGTTAAATCGATAACTGCGTCGAAATCGACGTCGCACATCCAGATGTGCGAAAGCGCGACGTCGCGTGGTGACCTCCCACAAAGCCAAATTTTTCTTTTACCGGGCAAACATCAAGCTTAAAAAAAGTTTACTTCCGCAGACCTCTTCGGAACTCAAGATATGGGGTAGAGACTATTTTTCAACTTCTAAATTTTTGTACATTTTTTTAAAACTAAAGAGGGGAATGCTGAATTTTTCACTCATAATTGTCTCTGACATTGTTGTGTTTTTTCGTCCTTTAAAACACCCTATGGACGCAAAAGTTCTAAGCACCTTCTTTTCTCGTTCCGCCAGAAGTTTCGTGTCAAAGTCCACCGGTTTCCGCCCATCAGGTTCATCAGCGAAATTAGTGAGAACAACCTAAAATTATTGTATATCCCAGGAGATATTCTCCTGCAAAAAAAGGCAAATCTAACGGACTCTTTTCTCCTCTGTTACAGTTCCCACTACGGAAACGGTACACTTTTCGCGACGAGAAATCGCCATCATTTTCGTCAGTCCATCGGGATCCACTAGGCAGGCGTCGTTTTCCTGAAAT